CATAAGAACATGTATACGTATCAGAAAAAATTATAAAATTGAGAATTTGCTCCTAACCACCTTTTACCCAAAGACCAAAGGCTATATATAGCCTTTGGTCATTGGCCCAATTTTTAATCAACTTGAAAAATTCCTAAAAATCTAAACTTTATTGGAATTAGCCCAAACTTTCTATCACATTTTTGTGGTGATGTCTATTGATTTTTCTAATAGGTTTATCGTCATTTGAAGAATGGTGACATATTACTATTGAACAGGCAACCCTCTCTACACAAACCAAGTATCATGGCTCATAAGGTGGAATATACATGAACATGAACATGCACGTGTACATCTATTTAATGCAAATTGCCTAATACTTGAAATAAAGTATACTTGAATTATCTCTCTCTTTCTCCTCCCCAGGCTAGAGTATTATCAGGGGAGAAGACGTTAAGGTTACATTATGCTAACTGTAAGACGTACAATGCTGATTTTGATGGAGACGAAATGAATGCTCATTTCCCTCAAGGAGAGCTTGCAAGATCTGAAGCTTACGGCATTGGTACATACATACATGTACATGTATACCGTAATATGATCCTTTTTATCCTGTTTGTGTGTACCAAATTAAAGCATACAAAATTAGCACATACATGTACTTGTACACGTACATACAAATGTCCTAAAGTGTATGAGTGGCAAGCATTGAGCATGGAAAATTTTCTTGTATATATCAGTTAGACAGTATTGCCTTACTTAATTAACTTACTTTACTCTTATTCTCTTTCTCAGTATCCACACAGAACCAGTACTTAGTTCCTAAGGATGGTACTCCACTGAGTGGGCTCATTCAGGATCATGTTGTATCAGGTGTACTGCTAACACTGAGGGACAGGTTCTTTGATAAGTGAGTAATGTGTTAATGTGTTATAGTCTGTTATTTGGTGTGTGTATTGTTAGAGGGGACTATCAGAATCTTTTGATGGTTGCTTTGCCTGATTTCACGTCTCCTTTTAAAGTCTTGCCTCCTTCTATATGTAAACCAAAGGAACTCTGGACAGGAAAACAGGTACATGTATAAAATTTTATGTACCATATTAGGAAATTTTGAGGGAGTTATTTGTAGTGAGTTTGGCATTTTGATAGCCATTCGCCAAAATAAAAATCTGCCATTTTGAGCCATTATGTGCATGCTCAATGGCACATGGCGATAAATTTGCCAAATTAAAAATCTGCCAATCACTAAAATTTAGCAATTCACTAAATTTAGCCCCTCTAAAATTTCTCGCTCTACGGTATACACTATACACCATACATTGACAAATTGTAATGTATATTGTGTAGATGTGCTTAGGCTCACCCCTTTAATGTCTAGTGTAGTTGGGCATACATTGGTCTAGTGTAGTCTAGTGTAGTGTAGTTGGGCATACATATACATATACACTGTACATGTATATTTCACTTCCTTCTTTCTGGTGTTATTAATTTTTTTCCTTTCTCTACTCACAGGTTATATCATCACTA